GGATGGGAATAACCTTAACAGTGTCATGAAAGAAAGGGATCTTGGTATAATGGTTGATCAGTCTCTTAAGCCATCCAAGCTGTTGCTACTGGTAGAGCAAATAGGATTTTAAGTTGTATCAACAGAAATATTGAATACAGGTCTAAAGAGGTTATAATTTCATTGTATAGGTCACTTGTCAGGCCAAATTTGGAGTATTTTGTTCAGTCTTGTGCTCCTTACCTTAGGAACAACATTGAATTGTTGGAAATGGTTCAGAGAAGGGTTACTAGAATGGTGCATGGATGAAGGGTTTATCATATGTGGAAAGAGTTAGAGGGGATCTGATTGAGGTACTTGAAGTTGTAAAGAGAATTGATAGTGTTGATGCATCATCTTTTTTCATACTTAACATGGAAAACAGTAAGAATAGGGGATACAAGAATTAATTTTGGCAGGGCAAGAGTCATCTTCAGCTAAGATAGTTTTATATTTTAACAGGGTGGTTAGCCTTTGGAATAGGTTACCTTCAGATATTGTGGAGGCAGTAATTTTAAGTTTGTTTAAGAGAAAACCCAATAACTATACGAGTGATAAGGGCTGGCTTTAAGATTTTTATGTTATTTACTTATTTGATAGTTTTAGTTTAGTTTAGAGGATAGGACAGCCGAGATGGAGAAATAGGTCCTTTGTTTTCCCTATCCTTATGTTATGTTAAACTACTGGTCAAGTAAATAAACCTTAGGGATATATATTAAGCAATTAACAAATGTGACTTAGAACCTCAATTACATTAACAAGTGTGAAAAAATTTGCAAATAAAAAAAAGTAGGAATGGGAGCACCAAAAAGTAAGGAAGGTAAGAATGGGTGGGATAACATTACAACACTTGGTGGTTTTTGACACAGTGCAACCTCGAAGTAGGTGTGGCCATAATTCTGCGCATTCCTATTTCATTTACTTTTTGTAACTTAGTAATTGTTCAACCTAAATGAAAGGTGTTTATAGCTAAATTTCTCTGTTGTTTCAGCAACTAAGTACAGATACATGTATGTAATCAAATTACAGGACCCTATTGAAATGCATGATATCATAAGGGGGGTGTTTGCTGTCTGAAGTGATAGAGGAATATCCATACTTTGCTTAGTATTAAACCACTGATTTTTGAAATTTTAAAATTTGTTGAGCATTTAAAAAGGATTAGCTACTGATAAAACTCAATTCAGGTCTATAATTGGATCAAAGTTCAAAGTAAAACATGAAGTAGGAATGGACAGAATAATTTCCACACCCAATTTGAGGTTGCACCATGTCAAAAACCACCAAGTGTTGTAATGTTATCCTATCCATTCCTACCTTGCATTCTTACCTTTGGGTGCTCCCATTCCTACTTCCTATTTTTTTTATTCAAAGATTTTGTACACTTGTCTCATAGCTTTTTTTTGTACTAAGTCTTGAGAGTGACTGGACTTTATGCATAACATTCTCATAGTTTTTCTTGGTGCTATCTCTTGACATTTCCTAGCTTTTGTTGATATCTTTGCTATAGTTTTTCTTCCCTCTAGCCAGGGTGACAGTCTTTTATTTGGCTGGATTAATGGTAAAGGCTTGTTTCGCATATTCAGCGTTACTGATTCTAACCTTATCTCTATTCTTGCAGTAAGAATTTTCAAAGTTATCAACATAAGATTTCTCCTTTTCCCTCATTCTGTTTCCTTGAAATGCATATTTTATAAATTGCACTGTTTCAAGTACTACCTTACATTTCAATAGGTCACACTTAGTTTGAAAACAATTCAAAGATAAATTATACAACTTATCCATCTTGTTTTCAGTCCAGAGCACTTGAGCAAAGCCACGTTAGACTTCAGCAGAAGTGGCATTCGTCCTCATGTAGGAAACTCATGTTTTAGGCACCAACAGCTATGAAAGAACTGCTTTGTCCAACACAGAACCCTTGAGTCAAATGTATAGAACTGAAAACTTTGCTTTCTAAGGTTAGATCATGTGTTTAGATTTACATAAGGTGAAGGCAGGAGAGAGCTATGCCTTTCCAACAACGTTAGTTAGTTGGTCAGATTGACAAATTTGTGGTTTTGTGAAATTTTTATTTTTACTCCACTAACTTTCTCAAGTGCTTTGGTGGCTTGTTACTCTGCAGTTGATTTGTTTACTACTCAACAGTGTATGTAATGTGCTTATAAAGTTTTGTTTACATGCTGTTTGTAGCATGTTTAAGATTTTCATTTGTATTACATATCTGGCCCATTCCTACTATAAGTCCTACCATACTTATGATAAACAGTATAAATTGACAAACATTTTAGGCCTTAAATTTATCAAATGTAAAATCTCCTATTGATTTTAGAAAATTTTATAATGTAAAATACATCTCTGAATAATCATTACCATATTTGTCTTACACATAAAAAAAAACCTTCAGCAATGCAAGGTAATATTTCACTGTGTAAAACTTCACAAAGGTTTTATTTTATTAAAACATCATACAACATATTAATCACAAATCCCCTTCTTTAAAAAGAGGAAATACTACAAGTACTATCAATAGTTATTTGTTATCAACAGCTATTTTAAATTAAATACTTTTTAACAGTTTCTAATATTGGGTATATAAAAAAAATAATCTGAATGTTTTATCTGAGGTATATTATAGTATCAGCATTTCTCTATATTTCATTTGAAGCATTTGTCAAAATGCTGCTAAAAGAATATGAAATTAATAATGTCACACATTCTCTGACCCTCTGTCATAAAGAAAGGTAAATGGAAGTGAAAAAAAGAAATAAAATTAACACTTTTAATTTTGTATAGTGGAACTTAACAATGAAGATAAACACAGGACTGCCATACCATATTTCCTAGAACTTACAGGGCTCAAATTTGCAAGATGCAGATTGTGAGGATCAACCAAAATTTTGTCTTGATGATCATATATTGATTAGTATTACCCTTCATGACTGTGGGGGTGGTAATGTCAAATATTAAATCTGTGAAAAAAAACACACTACTATTGTATACGGTACTGTGATAAAAAAACTAACAATACTTCTCATGTATTTTATTTTTAATAGTCGTCAATTGTTTGACCCCCTTTTAAAATCCAATAAATTTGCAACTGCACATTACATATTAGACATCACTTCTTCACTGCCATATAACCATGAAAACATTATGAGCCTCCATACTTGAAAAGTGTAAAAGTCATATAATTAAATTGGTGGGTGACATAGGGCAAAATGTCAACTTCAAAATCAATTCATTATTCTTTAAGATATATCATTGAATTACGCAGACAGAGAAGACTGACAACCAAATCAAATGTTGAATCCCAAAAAACAGTGTACTAGTAAAGTTTGAAAAATCCAGAATTGTTGGTTTCAAATGTATAGCTGGCTTAAGAAAAAGGAACAATTCAAGTTTTTTATTTCATCATTTTTTAAACCTATATCAAAGATAGAGGTTTTGTATTTTTCAACATTCCATCTTAGTTAATACTTCATATTAGTAAATTAATTGTACCCACTTTAATATTAGTGGAGTTGACCATTAAATAATTGTAGCTAAAGAATTAATAATATTTCATAATGGCTGGAGACGGCTTGAATGGGTAATGAAGAAAAACTTATATTAAAGTTTTTCTTCATTACCCATTCAAGCCGTCTCCAGCCATTATTAGCCTCAAAGTGGGTTCCTCGTCATCAAATTTTAATAATATTTCAGTTGGCCCCTGAATGTTTAATTAACTACCAAATTACAAAATCTAGAAGCCAGATGCTCCAAAGGGTTTTGTCTAACCCTGAGCCCTGACTTTGGAGAAAAAAAGAATAATGAATACCTGTAACATTCGGACAATTTTTAAGAGCCCACCTAAATTAAGAGCATCCTACCTAAAGGTAAGCCATCAAAGAGACATCATACATGCTTCCACAGATACTTAGTTATTGCATTACATGCTCAATAGATAGCAATCACGACATTAACCTTAAGAATATAAAAATAATTAACAAGGATGACACCAAGAAGAAAAAATGAAGTTACTGCAATATCAATACATGGATGTGGTCCTTCTACAGGTTTTAACCAAAATAATGATTTTTCTTTACACACTTGCTGGTTACCTTTCATCAAAGAAATCAAACTATTCATTGGTGTAATACTGTTATAAACCTCAATTACCAATTTTCTTTGTCTTACTTTTCCATTGTAGCCTGATGTTAGGACAAAACAATACAAATTTGGCTCAGTTATAATTTTTACTTACTATTATTTTTTAACATTTCAATTTGTTTATTTCTTGTAAAACTATAGAGGGCACTTCTTTGTTATTACTGTTGCTAGCCAACTTGTATTTTGAACTGTTACTTTAGTTGCTCTTACTAATTGAACATCCTACAATTCTCAAAAGCTCAACAGATATGTAGTAGGCAAATTTAAAGTGGGGGGGGGCAAGGTTTATTTAATAAAGTGGAATGAGGGAATGTGCACCACAGACAGCAACTACTGCCAGAGTAAAGGGCTCGCCTTAGGGTCCTGGAAGTATTCTCCTGCTTTTCCTGAGAGTAATTTTCCTAATTTTGACCTATTTTCACTTGCACAATTTGAAAAATTCCCCCCCCCTCCCACTTCCTATGCCACTACTTTAGTAACTGATCTGAAAGCTTGAGTAATAAAAGAAAAAGTACAACATAGTGTAGATTAACCAATTAAGTTCCAGTATAATTAATTCATCCTCATGTTATGAGTTTTAGAGTAATTTTATGGGTGAATGGACTACTTCACTTAATTATTCACTCAAAATCTCTAACAGTAAATATATAGATATATTAATACTTTCTGTGTCTGTCATTGAATTATAATTTGTACTTCAGTATCATCTACATGAAGCTTAGATTAGTTGCATCTGATTGTACAATCCAAAATTGTGATATATACTTGAAACAAATATATATACTTAAATATTTCCTTAGCAAGAAGTTAGGAGGCCAAATGATGGTTTCATGTCACAAGCATCCATTTATATTAAGTTGGCAAATTTACTCAGATGAAACAGCAAAGTCCAAAAAGATTCATGCAATAAACTTTATTTTTAAAATCAAATCAAACTTTATAAATTATGGAACTTTTCATTGGTACATTAGTTAATACTGGAAATATATAGCTGAATATTAAAGATGTAGCACCATCTTTTATGGAAGACTTTATACTTTATATAATATTTAAGAACAAACAATCTACGAACATGCTCAATATTATCCATTAATATCCACATTTGAAAGATTCATCACAATACTTATTGCTTTTTTTTAACAGTTGAAAGTTGTATTTCTGTTTCATATAACACACAAATTCAAAAATAGAAGACAATCTGTTCATGCCAAAGACACTTTTCTATATAATCCATAATGTTAATACTTCTTAGTAGAGTTACAAAAAGTTTGAAGAAAGGCAATCTTAAAGATAGTAAGAAAATAACAAAAATTTTACTTGGAGACATACTAAATTATTCAGTGGGTTTTTTCTAGGAATGAAAGAACCCCATATTTTTACTTCTTATCGTAGGTTTTCAGTGCTAATCAAGCACTGTTTGAAGATTTTCTAACTTCCAAATAAGTACAATATAAAGTTGATCAGTTGCATTAGAATTGAATAACTTAACTTTTACTTTTGTTTTACATTTTGCATACCCATGGAGAATGTGTGTGTAGGGGAGAACTTATACTCTCATCCAACATTATATTAAAACCCTAAATGATAACTTCATCTGTTTTGCTGATGAGACAATGTAATAAAAATATATTATTAGGTCTGAATGTAGTGATTGTAATAAAAATAGAGTGAAAAAACAATTGCTAATTTTGGCCTCTTTCTATTACTTTTTTTTTCTCCAATAAAATCATATATGTCAGTTAAACAGTGAAAACCTTGGGTTGATTAAATAAATTAATTTCTGCCACATTTCGTTTACTTTAACATAGATGAAGTAGATTAGATTCAATACTATAACAAACACATGGAATTCAATTAAAAGTGAAACTGAATGAGGTTCCTAAGTTTAGCAATGGAAAACCTTTGGTTTAGTGTGCAAGACTGACTTTCTTTTAACATCAATCAATATGAATACATGCTAACTTTGAGCATACTAACAATCACTATTACAATAACAATGTAATATATATAACCCTTAAGAATGCACACAATACATGCATAAAATAAACTTTACCAAAACTCAAACAAAACAAATTTTTGTTAATGTCTTTCCCAGCACCATAGGAACATAAAGAAAAACAAAAACACAACAATCCTATATTCAAAACAGTGTAGATTATATGAATGAAAAGTGAAAAAAAGAGGATGGAAAGTTGTCTCACACTTCCCTTACCTTTGGAGTGTTTTAATTTTGCAATGAGACCAGTTCTGTGAATGAACTAAAGTTTAGTAAGTATTCTGTTGGCTCATTGCTTTAAAAAAAAATCAAAACATACATGTAATTCTTAAATTTCTTGGCTAAATATTGCAAAAACATTTTGATAAATACTTTTCACACTCTGAATCTTTCAACAGAAAATGTAGGAGTTTACTATAGGTAGAACCTCGATGTCTTATTACTTATTGTGGCAGATTACATTTTACTTAAATGCAGTTCCCTTTAGCTACTTTATAATAATTGAAAGCCAACAAATGATACTTCAATTATGACGCTTATAAATATTTACTATGTCCATGTAAAAGTAGGCAGGAAATATTCTTTGGTTCCAGAACTAGGAGTGAGATCCTCTTCACTGAGGAATGATAACGGTAACAGAACAAGATGGCCTCGAACTTTCTGTAGCTCTAGCTGAGCTTTAGCAGGGTTTGTTTGAGCCAGACCTTGCTGAGTTTGGTGTGTCTTAATCTGAGCAAACTTATGAACTTCATCAGTAGGTATGCAACGAAAGACCTAGTGAAAAAGAAATGCAATAACTTGACTTAAAACTTTAACTCTAA